TAATATATGGAGTTTCAATCACCAAGTGCCCTACATTCTCTCAATAAATAAAACCTCTCTATTGGGAAATATGGTCCAATTCATGTTTGGGGAGAGCAAGTTGAAAACTGTATCGAGTAAATATTGTTGATGAAATTAATGACATTACATAGATGGAAATGGCATATCTATATGGCATTTAAGATTCGGACTTATCAATGACGATATAATGCAAGAATTAGTAAAAAAGAATTTTATACCTAACCTTTCAAGACAATCATCTCCCCTTATGGAAAAATTTTCTGATGTCTTTTTTGGCCATTTGGCCAGATCTGTTCACTGATTTCTAGCATTCTAATAGCGAATTTCCGATTGCGATGGGTGAAGGATTTGGATTACGATTTTTTATGGCGGCTTTTCTCCATCGTATCTACCTTGACGAGAAGGAGATGCATAAGTTTATAGTTAGGGTTTTGTTCATTTTATTGGGGAGATTGAGAAGGGGCATTGAATAATGGAGAAATTTGGTGATATTTTGGTGATTTTTGGTGAAATTCATGAGCTCATAGGTGGGAGAGAGAGAGGCCCTTTTTTTCACAAATTTTTTTTTGGGGTTCATCAATTGCCTCATGTATTCAATTTACTCAGATGGGATAGGGTGTATTCAATTTACACAGATGGAATAGGGTTTGTACTCCATAGAGTGAGGGTGGTTTTGTTTTAAGGAAAATTAAACTGCTTAACCAAGCTTTTCTATGTAAGTGGTGGGGGAGTAGTTTGCACTTTAAGGACTATATGTGGTATCAAGTTCTTCTGGGGTAAGATAGATTTGGGATGTGGATTGGTTTCCAGTGTGGGTTGAGAAACTTATTCCTTTTTCTAGAGAGATATCTATCGATGTAAGGCACTTATACACTGGATTGGTTCCCAGTGTGGAGTGGGAAACTTATTCCTTTTTCTAGAGAGATATTTATCGATGTAAGGCACTTATACACCAAAATATATGGTGGAGTTTTGGTAACTGTGTTAATATTTCTTGCTAACACCACAAGTGGATAGGTGATTGTCCCATAAAAGTTGTTTTCCCTGATATCTTTGATAAAGTGGATAACCCCTATGTATTTATAGCATATTTGTTTGAGATCAAGGGGTAATCAAGTGGTTTGAAATGTCAATCTCCTATATAATAGGATTTCCGACTATCTCTTCTCACAGCTAAATTCCTTATTGGAAATCTTGAGCCATTATATCCCCAACTCTGTAGATCCTGAGCCATGTTTGGAAATCCTGAGCCATGTTTATATCCCCAACTCTGCAGACAATGAGTTAGTATGGGAAGTAGAGAAAGATGGTCTATATTCGGTGAAGTCAATGTATCGACTTCTCTTTCATAATTGTTGGAGATGGTCTTTGCCTCAAGTTGCTCAAATCTGGAAATGGTAGATCCCGCATAAGGTTCAAGACTTTATTGGCGGGTTGTACAAGATAAGATTTTGACTATTGATAACCTTATCAAGAGAGGGAAGATCTTGCCGAACGTATGCTTAATATGTAAAAATGACAATGAAACAATTTCTCTTTTATTTCTTTATTGTCCGTTTACCTCTTATGTTTCTTCATTGTCCTTTCACCTTTAGGATCTGGTCTTGGTTTCTCTTGAAGCTAGGGATAAAGATGTCGGAATTTGTTATAGGGATTGTTTCAAATCTTCTTTGCTGCACTTGCCCCAAATAGGGAAAGTTATTTGGGAGATTGTTAGAGGGGTAGTTTTGTGGGAAGTGTGGAAAGAGAAAATTTGAAGAATTTGAAGGGATTAGTCTACCTTTTGACATGATTTTTTATAAAATCGTACATTTGTTGTGGTTTTGGCTGTCGGGATCTAAAGAAGGTAGGGGAATTTCAGAAGTACATGTGATGATCAATCTTTCCAACTTGTTCCAAATGGGCTTCATCAAGTGTAGGCCTAAAAGTAGATGGATGTGCTTGTTCCAAATGGGCTTCATCAAGTGTAGACCTAAAAGTAAATGGATGCCTCCAATGGAGGGTGCTTTTAAACTAAACTTTGCTGGTAGCTTAATTGAAAATTTGGAGTTAGCGTGGTTTGGAGGAGTAATGGAGGGTGCTTTTAAGCTAAGCTTTGATGGTAGCTCAATTGGAAATTCGGAGTTAGCGGGGTTTGGAGTAGTAGTAAGGAATTGAGTTGAAAATGTTGTTTTTTCTTTTTGGAGGAGTAAGGAATTGGGTTGGAAATGTTGTTTTTTCCTTTGCTGGACCACTAGGTGAATTGCTAACTTTGCATAATTCTTTGATCTACTCCATAGCTTGAAGTTGTTTGCTATAGGGAATCTAGGCTCTTATCCGTGTCTGGTTGAAGTGGACTCCCTAAATGTTATCAAGTGGTGCAAAAGGGAGTATAAAGTGCCATGGGAGTTTAGAATGATGTTCTTATAGGTCTTGGACTTGGCTAGTTCACTTTCTATCTCTTTTTTGCATGTTTTTAAGGAAGCCAATCATGTGCCCGATTATCTAGCCAAACAGGTGCATCCTTATCTAAGCCTATCTTCTCTAATGATGTAATTGTATCCCAGTACTTTCTAATAAGAGTTGATAATATTCATAAAAAGAAAGGATTTGTTCGGGCTGGCATTAGGTAAAAGATGAGGGGCATATATGTAATTTAGATTGGGTAAAAAGAGTAGAGGGGGTCTAATGTCTGCATATTAAAATTTGAAAAAATTTATATAAAGTGCCAACCTTTTATACTGTAAAAGTAAAGCGCACCTTAAAAATTCATAAGAAAAAGTTGTTTTAATGCCGAAAACCCACTAATGGATCATCTTGACCTCAAGATGAATGGGCATTAAAAAAAACGATTTCAAGTCATAGAAATAGTGCATCTTAAAATATATTATTTGAACCATTCATTTTCAAGATTTCTGAGGATTTCTAGCTATGAAAGTGCATTTAGATATAAAAAGAGATTTGCAAACCACCATGGGGATTTCTGGCAATGAAAGTGCATATTTCGGCATCATTTAAAGGTGGCCTACTGTTTAAGGCTCCAACCTTATACAAACCTCACCCTCTAAAATTTTGAAAATTTTGAGGGGAGTCCACGAGTAAAGGGATTCTCTACAAAGAGACCATTTATCATTTGTAAAGGGATTGTCTACAAAGAAACTATTTATCTTTTTGTCTATGGAGGTGTAATCATTCTTTTAAATTTTAAAATGAGTGATTGTAAGAGTAATCATTAAAAGACACAAATTCTGGTACTTTGGGACTCACCCTAAGCGATTCAGTTTGATATCTAATTTGTGGAAATGATTGTGATTTTGATGCAAATAAAAATTGGGGTTATTTAATTTTTTTTGTTTTATATATATTTTTTTAATTTTAAAAAAAATGTTATATGAGATTTTAGTTTTCTTAAGAGTTTTTTTTGCATTTTTTAGCTGTAAAAATTTAAAAGGTAGAATAATAAATTCTTTATAGGAGTTGGTTAGGAAAGATTTTTCAAGAGGTTATAGTTTCGATTTTGTAGAGGTTGAGGTTGTTATCTCTTAATGGACTAATAAGCATCATATCTCTCAATAGAAAAATAAAGAAAGAGAAGAGTTGGTTAGGAAAGATTTTTCATGAGGATATAATTTCTATTTTGTGCAAGTTAAGGTTGTTATCTTTTAATGGACTGATAAGCATCATATCTCTCAATGGAAAAACAAAGAAGGAGATGAGGAAGGGAAATGGACAAATAAAGAAGGAGATGAGAAAAGACAGTTAAAGAAAGAAGAAATAGAAAAAGTAAGTAGAGAGATAAGGAAAAGGATAAATGTGTTTTTTTGTTTATACGTTTTTATTTATTTATTTATTTGTATTTAAAGGAGAAAGGTTTCTTATTTAGAAAGAAGAGACTGGAATTGATTAAAGAGTTGATATTTTGAAAAGAATAGAGAGAGGATCTATTCTCTCATAATAATAATAATAATAATAATATTATTATTATCATTATCATTATCATTATTATTATCGTTATCATTAGCATTATTATTATTATTGTTATTATTATTTCTCACATATATCTATATACAAAAGATAAAGAGATAGGGGTTTCTCCCATGGGCAAGCTTTCTATGCTTCCCCTACAACATTGTTCTTTCAAACGTAAAACTTATATGCTTCTCCTTATCCAACAGTCCATTGTGAAAGGAGGGCTATGATTGCCCCAATCACAATGTCACGTCTCGGCATACGTTTTTTTTAATATTTTTTGTATAAAAATATTTTGACACCAAATTTTGGACGTCTAATAATCTATTAAACTTGCACTTGTAAAAAATATAAAATCATATTCTCAATAAAATAAAATGACCAAAATACCCCTGAAAGTTTTAAGAGGTATTTTGGTCATTATATTTTATCAAAAAAATATTTTCAATATTTTTTATAGGTGCGGCCCAATGACAAGATGGAACGTGTCAAATTTCATATTCATACAATTTGTATTAAAAAAATTAAAAATAAAATATTATGAAGTGTCGGCAAACGATGAGTAGCTCACTTAATCATAATTGGGCAGCTCGATGGTAGGGGAAACATAGATATCCTATAGGGGAAGTATAAAAACCTTTTCGCTTCTCACCCATATTATATAATGGAACTGAATTCCATTCTACCTGCAATTCAGAATGGGGTATCCACCACTACCATCTTCCGAACTTAATGACGTGCAACATAAAGAATTGGCAATTTCGAAACTTATGTATGTTGTGTGCATACAAGTATTAAACAAATCATGCACTTTGTTCTCTCTTCTGTCCTTATCAATCAACCAAAAATCTCCAACAATGCTTTCATCGCCATCTATAACTTCCCCATTCATATTCCATAACCATCTCACATCTCACACAGAGAGAGACAGAGGACTCTCCTTTCTCTTCATATTTCATATTTCGAAAGAGGACTTTCCTCTCTCTTCGTATTTCATATATTTCATATCAGTCTACAATCTCATCAAGAAGATGGCAAGCAAGAGGCCCTTGAAGATATGTTGTGGGGTTACCTTCCTGCTAATCCTTCTCTTAGGAATAACATTAGTGATCTTATATTTCACCTTATTGAAGCCCAAGCAGCCTAAAGTAGAGGCCAGGGCCGTTACCCTAGAGAACATAGAATTCGGATTGTTCCCTGTGGTGAACCTCAATGTGACCCTTGGCTTAGTGTTGTTAATAAGGAACCCAAATGTGGCTAGTTTCAAATTTTCCAACTCGACTGCTTTCGCCTACTATAGAGGTGTGGAGGTGGCCCAATCTCCGGTACCGGAAGGCCGGATTGCGGCACGTGGGTCCCACATGGTGAGCACGAGAGTTGTGATAGTCGCTGACAAATTGGTGACGAACCCGAATTTTTTCGGCGACATTCTCAAGGGTTCCTTGTTTTTCACTTCGATATCAGAAGTGAGTGGCAAGGTTGGGCTCTTTGGGATCGTTAAGTTTCGGGCGATGTCATCCACCAGTTGTGAAATCACTGTTGTTTTGCCGGGTGGCCCTGTGAATTCCACTTGCAACTCAGCAGTCAAGTTTTGAGATTCGGCAGCTTGGCCCTGTGAATTCCCCCAGAGTTCACATGATGTCTAGAACGTCCCTTGTTCTTCTAGGTGACCGCGGCCATGAATTTCTATTAGCCACTGATTTTGCTTTCTTTTTCCGAAGAATGAAAGAGAAAAGGAAATAGTATGACATATTTGGATAGTGAATTATTTCGTTTGTAGAATTTATTTTTTAGGATTTATTTGGAGCATTAAGGCATTTCTATCCGTTTCTAATGAGAATTTAGAGGTTTTCATTCAGTATGCGAGGCTTTCATTGAGTATCCGTTCAGTATCCGTTTTCATTCAGTATGCGAGGTTTTCATTCAGTATGCGAGGCTTTCAGTCAGTATGCGAGGTTTTCATTCAGTATGCGAGAATTTAGAGGTTTTCATTCAGTATCCGTTTCTATATGCGAGGCTTATTTCTATAGTTTTTGTCATTTTATTTTATTTTTTATGAAGTTTTTTGTCAGTGAAATTTATAAAAATGTAAATCAGAGATGACCTATTTAATGTAGGGTGCAGTTTGAATAGAGCTTGGGCTCTAAACAATCAAATTAGAGCCTACCTTCAAATAGTGTTGAGAAATGTGGTTTCAATATTGGAAATCTTTGTGATGGCTTTAAAAAACATTTTCATTTTTATTTATAAAGTTAAAAGCTTTAAAAATAGTGTAGATCGACAGATCTATGAAAACTTGGAAATCTTGAAAATTAACGGTCCAAAAATAAATTACAAAATATACTATTTGCAAAACTTGAAATCCATTTTTTTCTCATGTCCATGCATCTTGCTGTCGAGATGATCAATTTGATGATATTTGAGCACCAAAACAACCTCTTCTAGTGAAATTTATGAGGTAGGCTCAAATTTGATTGTTTGGAACCTCGGCTCTATATAAACTTTTCCCTTTAATCTATCAACTGTTTTTACTTTAATCTCCACAAGTCAATCAAAATACATGTAATCATGAGTTGGAATAGAACAAAATGGGTAAAATATTAAACAATAAGATATTTTGATAAAATTCACTTTTTACTAGATAATGTAGACAGCTTGTAGTTTATCAGGCACTTGAGCATTTTCTCCTAAAAATTAGTTATAATGATATTCTTAGCATTGTTTGTTATAGGCATCGACGAAACAAGTGGGATTTGTGTTTTTTTGGTTATTCTTCTCCTTGGTTTATCCTTTTTAGGGTGACATTTTTTCAGACAATATGAAAGCTTAGGAAAGAATTACAATACACGAAGGAGTTCATATACAACAATTGTCTAAAGGAAACACCATGCTTTGCCAACCCATCTGCTAAATCATTCACTCACCGACAACCCATCTGCTAAATCATTCACTCACCGATAAACATGATTGAATGAAATTAGGAGAGCGTCCCACAGATCAACTATCTCAACCCAAAGCCAACAAAATTTCCAACGTAGTTTTCCCAAATTGTTGCACTAAGTAATCACATTTTGTGAATCACCCTCCACCACAATTCTCCACATAACAAACAGGGGCCTAGTAAGCTCACCTCTTCTCATGATGCCCAATTGCCTCTCCATGGATCCAAATACCATGGTAGTTATCTCCCTGGAGTCTTTATTGTCATGAATGTAGCCTTGCTGAAAGACATTAATGGTAAACAGTCATCTCGTAAATCTTGAAGTCATCTGAGTTTTCCAATATGACTTAATATATACAGTACTTTGACATGTTGGCATATATTTGGTGATTGTCATTTCTTTGATGATTTAAGTACATGTTTAATGGGTGTGAAATTTGGTGATTGTCATTTCTTTGATGATTTAAGTACATGTGTAAATCTCCAAGCAGGTATCATGTGTCCACATTGCAATAAACATATGCAAATATGTAGGCATCCATGTGTGACTTTCATATAGAACTCCAAGCTAACTTTTCTTGGAAGAAATAAAGATTTCTCAAGATGGGAAAAGTACCTGGGCGCCCGAGTAGGGCCAAGTTCTAGCCAAGCTAGAAATTGTCAAAAACAAAAAAACAAAAAAAAAAAGAATTATTTTTAAGGTGAAATTCAACAAAGAACATCTAAATGATGTTAAAAAAAGTAGTAAAAAAGAATCGATCTTGAAAGAAACTAATTTGTGCTGGGGGTATTTTAGAAATAATCCAAAAAAGGAAAAATTTTAAAATAAATATTCATGACCAAAATACTTTTCAATCTTTGCCAAAATGATAGACAACATAAAAAATATTTCTCCAATAAATTCCTTATTTTTTGGCATTTTCTATGATTCGTTTTCAATTTTTTTAAGATCCTTTAGGACCGGTTTTTAGGGTCCCCAATCCAAGTCACCAATCCGTTTTTCAGAACACCGATTTTATGAAAAGAGGATGAAGAATCAAGTGACCTTCATTTTCTCCATTGCTGATAAATGCCTGATTTGCGAATGTAGTTTGCGAGTATTTACCTAATTCTACGAAGATCAACCACTAATATTGATGATCACCTATATGTACCCCTCTTATTTGAGATTGGAAAGGTTGTTACAGAGCATGTAGAGTGGAAACTTTGGGACGAATAGAAGAAGAGAAACAAGAGGGTTTTTGAAGGGAAGATCTTGGACTTGCATTCTAGAACCTTTCGGGTAGTCAATTATGAAGAAGTTTGGGATGTATTGAATTGCAGACATGAAGTCATGAAGTGTTGAAGATGGAGAATCCTTTTTCTAGAAGCCCTGCAGGTTAATGTGGGTCGATTAGAGATCATTAGGGTAGTATTTTGTTTGCTTACTAAGGCTTTTGCTGGGAAGCAACTGCCAATGAGGCGAAAATGGTAGCAGTTTTAGAAGGTCTGAAAATTTTTAAGTACTATTGTGGCAGACTGATATTCTATGGATGTGATTAAATGGTGTCGCAGGATTAGTGGGTTCTTTGGACATTGAGATTGATTTGGTTTCACAATCTTGACATTTATGATAGGGTGGAGGTGTCTTTTGAGCAAGTCTATAGGCAGGTGATAAGCCTATAGACTTTGGTCAGTGTTGAGGTATGAACATTGGCGATTTCTAGAGAGAGAAACTGTAATGCTCATTGGGATCTTTGATTGGTTCTGACTGAGATATCTTATATTCTTTAATAGCCCTTGCTTCTGGTCAGATCAGTCTTCTGATTCTCATTATCTCTTTCGAATGGTAATTCAAAACCTAACTCCAACATAAAACTTATTGTTGTTTATTTGAATGGACTTAATTATCTTTTTTGGTCGAAAGCCGTTTCTCGTTATCTCTCTGAAAAATCTAAATTTGGACATATAAAAAGAAAAAAAAAGGATCCAAGTAAGGATGATTATTTATATGAGGAATGGAAATTCAGTGATGATCTTGTAATGTTATTGATCATGAATTTCATGAAACCTAAGCTTTCAGAAATCTTTACTTTTGTTGAAAATGCCCAAGATTTATGGAACTCTATTAAAAAATGTATGGCCAACAAAACATTGTCTACTGAATTTTCTAATTAAAACAAGATATTTCTCAAACAAAACAAGGGGATAAAACAATTACTGAATATTTTGGCACTCTCAAGAGCACGTGGGATGAGCTAACAATGTACTTACCACAACTACTGACTTGGCAATCTTGCAAAAACATGTTGAGCATGACAAAATATTTCAAATTTTGGCCAATTTAAATAATGAATATAAATCCATCAAAAGTCAAATCTTAATGACTACAAAATTTCCCTCCTTGTATGTCTTGTCATTCAACATGAGGAAACTAGGAAGAAAATCATGAGTCTTGATTTTGAAACTTTTGAAAAAAGTATTGATAAATCTGCCTTGGTCCCTAATAGTAAAAAATATGAAACTAAAAAATTAAAATAATGATGGAGGTAGAAGCCTTAACAATTATCACGGTGGTGGAAGGGGTCACAATAATAAGGAGTGTCCTAGATGTAATCATTGCAACAATATATCACATGTGCATGATTAGTGTCGGGTATTATACTCATACTAAAGACCCACTAATGACAAGACAATCGATAGATCTATTATTCATAGCACAATCACTCAAACTCATTACTGCAACTGTGATCATTGTTAATAGCCAAGTAGCAACAATGGTTATTCATCCATATAAGATCCTTTTTTCTCTACCCAAGACATAGGTAATCCTTATGTATTCTCGTCTTTCTAGGGCACTTTTTTTTGGATAATAGACTCAAGGGCCATATATCATATGATTGGTAACTTATAGTGCCTATCTAACTTCAAGAGCAATAGCAATATGAACCATGTGTCTTTGTGCGATGGTCTTTTTATTCCTAGTCATGGTGTTAGTAAGACTACTTTCAGATGCATGTTCCAAAACTTTGTTACTTTTAAGCTATTTTAATTGTTTGCTATCTGGGTAATAGACTTCCAAGTAAAATTTTCAAGGACAAATATGCCCTTGAAGTTTTGAAAAATAAAAAAATTGATTCATCTCATTTGCATCTATTTGGGTGTGTATCTTATGTACATATGGCTGAACACAACAGGGATAAACTTGATAAATATGTCAATAGATATATCTTTTTTGGATACTCCTATGCTAAAAAAAGATACAAATATTATGATCCTGCAATGGGAAAAATGCATATTGTCAAATATGTTCAATTTGTTGAAACTGAGTCTTATTTCAATGACACCCTAGAGTGTGGTATGTAAAATAGGACTCAAGGCAAGTGTTCTAAAGGTTGTTTGTCATTGCCTAATATATAGTACAAGTGATGTATCCAACACACCTGGAACAAATCATATTGAAGAAAACGGTCATGATGATCAAGCTAAAACTGAAGATACTTCTGAAACCCACCAAGCTTATTTAGAAGAAGAAGACTGCGCCACGGCCCCATCTGATCTCCTACTGCACAGGCCATCTCATGTTTATCAACCTTGCTCTAGGCTTCAAGATTATTGCACTTACCACATAGTTTCTTATCCAATTTAAAATTACATTTCTTATGATAACATCTCTCCTAGTTATTTTACTTTTTGAGTTCTATTTCTAAAAATTTTGAGCCACTCAGTTCTCAAAATACCATTTCTCAACATGGGTGGAAGAAGGCCATGAAACAGGAACTTCAGACACTTAACAAGAACCATACTTAGAACATTTTCAAGTTATGGAAAGGAAAGAAAGCAGTTGGGTGTAGATAGGTTTTTAAAATTGAACACAATAGTGATAGTTTGCTACGAGACATAAGGCCAGGTTGGTGGCTAATGAATTTACCCAAACGTCTAGAGTTAACTATAAAGAGACTTTTGTACTAGTTGTCAATATGAATATTGTTCAAGTTCTTTTGCCTATCGCAATTAATTGTGGATGGTCTCTATATCAAATCAATGTTACAAATGCCTTATTATATAGTTACCTTGAAGAAGAAATATATATGTGTCTTCTTATAGATCATTCTAAAGAAAAAAAGAACGGTCATGTATACAAATTAAAGAAGGCCTTGTATGAACTTAAACAATCACCCTATGCATGCTACGTCAAACTCTGCTCAGCTTTTATGAGTATTTGGTTTCTTAGAAGTTCAGTTGATTCTTCAATGTTCATAAAAATTGGTACTTCGCATACAACAATTATACTCATTTAGGTTTGTGATATTATTATTAGAGGTGATGATATGAAAGAATCTTGAAGCTTAAAAATTATCTTCATAAGAAATTTGACATCAAGGTTTTTGGTCAACTAAAGTATTTTATTGACATTGAAGTAGCACATTAAAAAAATTGACTTTATTACTCAAAGGAAATGTATCTTAAATTTGTTGAAAGATACTGGGAGAAATGAGAATCAAACATGTTAACACCCATGTTGATCTTAATTGCAAGATTAATTAACTAATGGTAAGCCATTTGAAGATATAGGTTGCTTTCAGAGACTTGTTGATAGATTGGTTTATTTGACCAAAACGCCACCAAATATAATATATGCGGTCTGCCTTATAAGCTAATTTATGCTTGCTCGTAGATCATGTCATATAAAGGTTATCAATAAGATTCTTAGATATCTTAAATCATCACCCGGCAAGGGTATTTAGATGAAACAAAATAGTCATACTAATATTATCGGTTATTCTAATGTTGATTAGGTAGGTAGTCTAATTGACAAAAGGTCCATTACTAGCTATTGCACATAAGTTGGAGGGAACTTAGTTTTTAAGAAAGTAAAAAAACAAAATGTAGCTGTTTGATCCAGTGTAAAGGCTGGATATGGAGTTATGGTTGCAACTACAAGTGAATTGATATGGTTGAAATCACTACTTCGAGATTAAGGTTCCAAACGTCCAATCTAATGGATATTTTTGCAAAAATTAAGCAACTGAGCTTATAGCCTCAAATCTTGTCTTTTATAAAATAACCTAGCATATAAAAGTTGATTGTTACTTTGTGAGAGAAAAAAAATTCAGTAAAAAATTATTAGTACTCTTTATATTCGAAATAAAAACCAAATAGCAAACATGTTTACTAAAGCTATTGTAAAGGTAAAGTTCCATCAGATATTGTCCAAGTTGGGCTTTGAGGATATCTCCATACCAACTTGAGGGGGAGTATTGACGGTTATAACAATAAACTATTGAGTTTTCTATTTTGTGGGATTACTTTGAAATGTGACTTGTTTCAAAAAAATAAAAAATTGTAACTCTATAAATCTCTAGTAAACCAGAGTAATCTGTATGAATGAAAGACTGGTTTACCCTCTATACATGTAGACACCTTTGCTCTCTCTCTCTCTC